TTCAGCTCAAAATAATGTCATTCGATTTGTTGGTGCATATTGAGCTATAGGCTGAAATTATACTAAAACAGCTATAACTCTGGAAGGAAGGCCTAAGGGAACGTATTTTTTTGGGATTTTTCATACCACATCAATGTCTATCTATGTCCAAAAGATGGACTCTAAATTCGTTGGACATCTCCGAACCTTCCCTCGTTAGTTGTAAATTATTTTTATCACTCGTTTCATCTAGTATGTTATTCAGGTGAGAGTAAAGCTTGTAGTCGTATTTACATTTTGGACAATAGTAATACTATAATGCCATGTTTAAATTAATGAGACAAAAGAACGATTACTATGGGTGTAATCGATGAATGTTAAAAGATGTTGCATGTATAAAAGAACGACATGAGTCGAGTCATACTATTTCTTAAATAGATGTCAAATTACGAGCGACAGAAATGACTTATAACTAGGACGAAGCTAGTGACTGTAATTTTCTTGACTGATAGCTTAACTAAAAGTTAACCTGAAAAATGAGTGATTTCGAAAAGTTTTCATTATTTTACAGACAATTGGAGCAAACAAACTATGGAAACTGTTAGAAACGGAACCGTATGTTCATGCACTCGGGGCTATCACGGGTAATCAAGCAATGCAAATGGTTCGTGCTGGCTTGCGTGCGATTTATTTGTCTGGTCAGTTTCTATCCGTTTTTCTTCAGTTTAAACTTTGAAGTAGCTACAAAAAACTTCGAGAAAAAATAGAAATTTTAAAATTTCTTTGAGAACTTAACATATAATAGTGAACATCTATTTAGGCTGGCAAGTTGCAGCAGATGGAAATACAGCCGGCTCGATGTATCCCGATCAAAGCTTGTATCCATCAAATTCTGGACCAGAATTGGCACGTCGGATCAACAAAACTTTAGAACGTGCTTCCCAAATCGAAAACTCTGAAGGTGGAACGAAACGTGATTGGTTCGTTCCAATTGTTGCTGATGCCGAGGCTGGATTTGGAGGTCCTTTGAATTGTTTTGAAATCATGAACGCTTATATTGAAGCTGGAGCTGCTGCAGTTCATTTCGAAGATCAATTGGCTGCGGAGAAAAAATGTGGACATTTAAGCGGAAAGGTAATAAAAATTCAGATTCTCACTTGAATTCCACGTATGAATTTTGTTTTCCTTTTTTGAAAAAACTTTCTAGGTTTTGATTCCAAACAGTGCTCATTTGCGAAATTTGAATGCAGGTCGTTTGGCAGCGGATGTTTGTGGAGTTCCAACAGTGATCGTGAGTCGAACGGATGCAGAGTCAGCGATGCTTTTGACATCGGACGTCGACGAAGGAGATCGAGAGTTTATTGATACCGCGGCCGGCCGAACTCCGGAAGGATTTTTCCGTCTAAAAAAGGGAACAGGAGTGAAACATTGCATCAAAAGAAGTCTTGCTACGGCACCATTTTCAGATCTTCTTTGGTGGGAAACTTCAACACCTAATTTGGAAAATGCAAAGATATTCGCAGAAGCAATACAAAAAGAATTTCCTGGAAAAATGATGGCATACAATTGTTCACCTTCATTCAATTGGCGAGCAAATTTGAGCCCTGAAGCAATTGCGAAATTCCAGGCAAATATATGTCATTTTCTAACATTTCTGAAATTTCAAAAATTTCTAGAATGAACTCGGAGCTATGGGCTACAAGTTTCAATTCATTACGCTGGCTGGTTTCCATTCACTGAACTTTGGAATGTTCGAACTTGCTCGAAAATACAAGGATCGTGGAATGGCTGCCTATTCAGAACTTCAACAGGCGGAATTCGAAGCTGAAAAACATGGTTACACGGCTGTTCGACACCAGCGCGAAGTTGGAACCGGATATTTCGACTTGGTCACCATGGCTGCTGCAAGTAAATAGCTTGAAAGAACTAAGACTAAAGAGTATAGTCGACGGAATTTCTAATGAGTATGAGGATGGCATGAAATATAAAATAACTTGTACAAGAAAGCAAATCAGTAATAATGAAAAAATTTTAGGAGAAAAACCGAGCACAATCGCCCTGACCAAATCAACGGAAGCTAAACAATTTCAAGAAAATACTCAATCAGTTCCAGGTGATAGTCCATCGGTTCGTTCTCAAGCAACGATCAATCAACCATATGCCAGAAGAATTCAACAGTAAAAATTTGTTTCAAGAGCCCAACGCCCAAGATTCACGCCTAAAAGCCCACTACCCAAGAGTCCAGAGTCATGAAAAAGTTATTTTTTTTATTCTATTATCAGAAAAACATATTGTACAAAATTTTATTATAAATATTATTAACAATAAAAATGAAAAAAATTTAATTGAGTTTTCAGTGCTCCAATGTCCAGTATGGCAAAAGTTACTGCATTCTCAGATGATTCAATTCAAATCGCGATGGATTTGAAAAAAGGCGATGATAAAATACTCAATACAGGAACATTGGAATTTTTAGTCGTCTTACATCGGCGATTTGAGAAAAGGCAGCGACTGAAAAAGATATTCGAAAATCAAATTGGAAAATTCGAGACATAAATTTCAATATTTTTTTCGTAAAAAATTTAAAGTTTAAATTTATTTTATCGGAACTTTTCAGGAACTCCAAAAGATCTTCAAGATCGTCGTGTAGAAATCACGGGCCCATGCGATCGTAAAATGGTCATTAATGCGCTAAATTCTGGAGCAAAAACTTATATGGCAGATTTTGAAGATTCTACGACTCCAACATGGAGAAATTTGATTGAGGGTCAAAAAAATTTATTCGATGCCATTCGCGGTGAAATTTCTTATCAAGATCCTCAAACTAGAAAACAATACGAACTAAGTAAGGAATTATTCTGGAATCGAATTTTCAAAAACAATGGAAATACTCAAAATTTTTTGAAATTTTTATTTCTAGATTCAAAACCTGCAGTTCTTATGGTCCGCCCCAGAGGTTGGCATTTGCCGGAATTACATGTTAAAGTCGATAGTGAACCGATGTCTGGATCGATATTTGATTTTGCTGTTTATGTTTTCAATAATGCTTAAAAAATTGATCGAAAATGGAACTGCACCATATCTCTATCTTCCAAAAATGGAAAACTATCATGAAGCTGAACTTTGGAACGAAGTTTTGGATGCAGCAGAAGATTATTTAAAATTACCACGAGGAACTATTAAGGTAGAAATGTGTAAATTTTAATATTCATTTTGATTCTATTTGCATGAATTTTGTATGGAATAAGTTTAGGTGACTGTTCTGGTTGAACACATTCTGTTCACTTATGAAATCGATGAAGTTTTATACGTTCTCCGGGATCACATTGTGGGTCTCAATTGTGGTCGGTGGGACTACATTTTCTCATACCTCAAAGCATTCCGAAATCACCGTGAATTTCTAACTCCGAATCGTTCTGAAATTCGAATGATGACTCCTTTTATGCAAAACTATGCTCGTTTTGTCATTAAAACTTGTCATCAACGTGGAGCTCATGTCATGGGAGGAATGGCGGCGCAAATTCCTATCAAATTTGATGCAGACGCAAATGCAAAAGCTTTGAGTGCCGTTCAAGAAGTGAATAAAAATTTAATAATTTTAAAAAGAAAGATGCAAACTTTGCCAAAATTTCGGTAATTTTTCTCAAATTTCAGCATAAAATCCGAGAAGCCATTGAAGGTCACGATGGAACTTGGGTTGCTCATCCAGGTCTCGTCAATGTAGCTCTTGACGCTTTCAACGAAGTGCTAGGTACCAAACCGAACTAAGTGGAGCGTCAAAGACCTGATGTAAATCCCTCTGCAGCAGATTTGATCCAGTTTCCTACTGGCGAGCGAACAGACGTTGGACTTCGACATAATATCAATGTCACGTTGGGCTATTTGGAATCTTGGTTACGCGGAACTGGTGAGGATATCAATTTTCGAAACTAATGATAGTCGTCATCCTAGAAGGTGAACCGAATAGGGTACTCATACGATGGAACGCATAACATCATTGACATACGTTATACTATGCTGCTGATTAAAGTTTGTTAATAAGCAGCTAAATGAACGCGTGAATAAATCACATCTTTGAGGCATGCATTTCGGACTATCTAGAGCGAATTTATCTAACGGACTCTAATTCTGATCATTCTTATTATTTCAGGCTGTGTTCCCCTGTATAATCTAATGGAAGATGCCGCGACTGCAGAAATTAGTCGTTCTCAAATTTGGCAATGGATTCATCACGGAGCAAAGTTGAACGACGGTCGCTCAGTTGATCTTCGAATGGTAGAAAATGTAATCAACGAAGAAAAAGCAAAATGGTCCGTCCAAGCTGGAAAAGGCAATCGATTAGACGATGCCGCGGAACTTTTGATGAAATTCGTCAGTGACAAAGATTTGAAGGAATTTTTAACTTTGGATGCTTACAAGAAATTGGTCAATGAAGGATATTAATTTTTCAATTTCTTTTTACAATTTCATTATACAAGCCAAAACTTTTTTCATTTTTCGAAAAACTTATATAAATACGTAGTTAACAGAGGGTGGGTGTGTGTGTTTCTTTTGTCTTTAATCACATACACTCACATCTACACCCATGCACCCACAGCGACACACATACGCCCACAGCGACACACATACACCCACACGACCACACGCCCACACCTCACACCCTACTTGAACCCAAGTATTCCATTCATACAACTATACATTTATATTTAACCTATCAGATTTGACTCTTGCGTTTTCGCTCAACAGTCAATAATCAGTTCGTTGTCGCTCTTCAAAGACAAGATGCGGCAAAATAAAGATTTTTTCCTCGCAAAGCAATTCAACAATTTCGATGATTTTTAAACGTCCTTTACAACTTGCTTTCATCATAACTGTTAACCATAATGCGGCGAGGGTACTTTGAAAAAAAATTGGTACGATATGAAACTTAAAAAAGGTTTCGAATTTTGTAATGAAATCGAAACCTTTTTTAGGTCTCGTACGAGCTACAAAATCTTTTTCAGGTATCGTACGGCTTTACGAAACCTTTCGAAGGTTTTGCAGTGTCTTACGATACTTGAAAAAGGTTTCAATTTCGTTGCAAAATTCGAAATCTTCTAAAATACTTTTTTTTGAGTGTAGTATATGGATGAGGGCGTTCGTAAGAACTTTCAGTCATTTTTGTTTATGTATATAGCCACTTCCAGTAAAAAAATACAACAACGTGAGAGAAAATACATAGGCAGTAAATACACACTGAGGAGGATAATAAATATTCTTGTTCACGTTCGGAATAGACTACGTAATAATGAAAAATATTGGGCATCTTCTTAAATGCACATAAAGTTTATAACAGGAGAAAGAGGTTGAGAATTTATTGCAATTCTCAAGAACGAAGGAAGGCAGAAAAGATGAAGAGAAAGAAAGAGAAATGAAAAAAAAATATTAACTTATTTGTACGAGAGTGAATACCATATAGTAGAACGAATACACTCATACATACAACAAGATGAAGAGAAAAAATATAATATATAACGATGAATGTTGTTAGAGTGCTCTCAAACATCGCCACACTACTTGGCATGCTCGATTACATCTGTTTGAAGTGATTCTGAATCGATCAGTAATCGTTTAAGCTGCATAGGTAGGTGCACGCATTTTAATTCTAATATCTTGACAGAAAGGAAGAAAATTTTGAAAGGTGATCTGAATCAAAAAGAACTGTCTAATGTATGATCTCAATGAATCAGGAATGAAAGTGCAATAGAGATTTGTGAAATGTCATTGTTCGAAAAAATTGTTGACCGCTTACAATAGAGGTATGAGTGTTAATAAGTGAAAAGATGGAACATATTCGGATCAAATGAAAGCTCTCATCGCCAAACTAACAAGGCTAAAATATTAGGGGCCCTTGGCTTGTCTAGAGGGAGATATTCGATTTTTACTGTATTTAGAGTATATGTAGAATGTCCATAATTGAAAATTTCAGTGGGATTTATTGTTCTTTTTTCATGATGGTTGGATAGAGTTCATCGAGTTGTATTAGAAAAACTACGTTTCAAATTTTAAAAAGAGATTTTAAAAAATCTTAAAAGAAAAATCCAAGTTACTGTTATTTTCAAATATAAGGAAAAATAGATCCAAAATTCCGATCCTACGCAAATTTTTTTTAAATCACTTTTTAAAATTTGAAACATAGTTTTTCTAATACAACTCGATGAACTCTATCCAACCATCATGAAAAAAGAACAATAAATCCCACTGAAATTTTCAATTATGGACATCCTACATATACTATAAATACAGTAAAAATCGAATATCTCCCTCTAGACAAGCCAAGGGCCCCTAATATTTTAGCCTTGTTAGTTTGACGATGAGAGCTTTCATTTGACCCGAATATGTTCCATCTTTTCACTTATCAACACTCATACTTCCATTGTTAGTGCCTGTCTCACTACTCAATGACTAAGTAAATTTTACATAATTTAATACAGTTATTTGTTTCCTTCATGAGTTGAAAATAGTAGTTCTCTACCTACTTTCTTGCTGTAGTCATTCAACTTACAACCAAATCCACCGTATTCTCAGATGAGCAGTAATCTAGTTTCAGAACATATGGTCATTACAAATTCAGAGTATTATGAAATTTTTTAACGACTCTGTTTTCTCATACTAAATTGTCCAACGTATTAATGTAGACTGACCAATAATGAAAAGAAAAGTAATATAATGCAAAGAAAATTTCGAAGCATCTACAGGATGTTCCAAAAGTCTCTGAGAAAAGTTCTATCGTTTCGTGTCGCTATTGACTGAACTTCATCCAACAATTTTTTTTTTGGATAACAGATAAATACACAGAGTTTTGATTTCTACGGACAGATTTCAAAAGAATTGTTGGGAGCTAAGATCTTTAGCCGAAATACAAAAATTTAGCCTGTTGTCTCTTTCCACAAATACTCACGGATGATGCATGTTTTAATTGCTTGAATTTTGATTTGACATCATTCATGTTGTTTCTGTAAAGACGTATCAAAATCAAATTTCGTGAAAAGATCGTCCAACTATCGAACAATTTAACGATTTGAATGACTCGATAACTGGAAGTAATTAAAAAACGAAATGCTACGTAATGTTTTTCTGGAAAAAGGAAACAGGGTAAATTTTTGTATTTCGGCTAAAGATCTTAGCTTTCAACAATGCTTTTAAAATTCGTCTGTAGAAATCAAAACTTTGTGTATTTATTTATTATTCAGAAAGAAAATTGTTGGATGAAGTTTTGTCAATAGTGACATGAAACGAACAAACTTTTCTCAGGGACTTTTGGAACACTCTGTATATCAGTAATTGACAATAGATAGTGAGCAGTTAGAGACATTTAGCATACGTAAGAGATAATAGAAGAAGTATCATCTCGCTGATTATGCTTTACTAAAAATCAGCCAGCACTATAGGATTTGATGTGGATACGATGAATGACTAAAAATTTACACCTACACTCACCCCACCCATGCCCACACCGAAAACAATCCATACTGACACCTTATAATTTTGTAAAGTATCCATTTTGACAATATTTACGGTTCTTTTTTTGGATCGTAAATGATGTCGTTTTGATCAGCCTAGACAATAGTGGCACAACCCGAGGGGCGCCAGGAAGACTCAACCCACCATCGGCATTTTAAGTCCTACCACGATTACTCTGAAGTTACTGAGCTTTTGAATAAAAATAGACGAAATTTAATTAGGACATTTTTATATGAATTTTTAGCTATTAACTCAATAACTAAAAACTAAATCATTGACAACTGCAATTGATTTATATCAAAAATTATACCCTTTTACAGAAACGTTTCCGATACTTGTTCCGCTTATCGAAAATGCGATGACTATTCCAGTTTCTTCAACGAGATCTGAACGCACATTTTCAAAAATGAAGCTGATCAAAGCAACAGTGAGAAATATAGTGACTGATGATCGTCTAAGTGATTTATATTTAGTAGCTGTTGAGCGTGATATTGATGTAGATTTTGAGCAGGTTATTAATAAATTCTCAGATAGGAGTGTCACATCTACTTCTATTTACTATTTTACAAGTCGACTGATTTGTACATGAATTGATCATATTTGACCAGACCTTTTGTTGTGAAGTCGTAGATCTTGACTTCATATATGATCTTTCTCCCAAGGTCGTTTCTCGATACTGCTCATGGGCACAGTTATGAAGTATAAAAGAAATATTTTTGTATTTACTTCTAAATGTAAATACTTCGTCCACCTCCCATAACTATGTCCATGAGCAATATCGAAGACTGATCTTGGTAGCAAAATTACAGTTGAAGTCGAGATCTAAATATTAGTAACAAAATATCTGAGCAAATGTGGTAAACTACTGTGAACATCAATCAATACAAAAATATATACAAACAATAAATAAAAGTATATGTGCTGCCCCTATTCCCAGTTATTCCTAAAAATAGTCGAATTATGCTGAAATAAATAACAATTTTTTTGTTTTTATTATACTTTTCTCACATAGCTGAATTAGCTGGCTGCTTATGAAGACTACTCTAAATTGGTGAGTACCTGAAAGTAGTCAGGCATAGTATGAGGGCTGAGTCTCACCACCCTAAATTTCTGGTTACGCCGCTACTAGACAATAAAAAGATGTGCTTCTTTGGGACTAATCCTGAGACTACTAAACTCAATAGTGTCAAACCTGAAAGTTGAATTCAATTATCAAAAAGCCATTTCAACTATTAAACTATTCAATTATTCATTATTCGTCCTAGCAGGCAGTCCTTTCGCGGTACCCACAGCAGCTGCGATGATGAGTGTATTTTAATAATTGAATAATTGAATGGTTGAATAGTTGAAATAACTTTTCAATAATTAAATTCAACTTTCAGGTTTGACATATATGATTAAACTCAGTAGTACATCGATGAATTTAATGTTAAAATGTCGATTTATACTTGTGCTTTCATTCTATATATAATTTGACTTGATTGGATAAAAAAGACTTAGCGCTCAAGATTGAGGCTCTATGCGTTTTCGTTCTTTGCATTCTGACTATTGTGAGTATTTATCATTCTAAAGCATAAGGACTTAACATTTTCACACTGTCTAAAAAGAAAATCTTAGCAGTAAATTTTGGTTAAAATTCATTTGTGCACAAGGAACGGTGTCTTATGAGGTAGATAGTAACAACTAGCATGAATTATTACCGTGCGAGGTTTCTCACGGAGATATGTTAGATATTCATTGTCTATAGGTCAAAATTTAGCCTAGATCCTCGGATGTAATATGAAAGCTTACTCAGCTTTTATCACTGAGCATGAATCGGTTATCAGTTTTTGTCATAGAATGCATTCCGACCAAAACATATATTTATTTTGGAAACATGTCACTTTTTGTAAACCACACCTTATCACATTCGGAGAACTTGTTCGATCTGTTGCAAAAACTTTTACTCAATTTCCTATGTACCGTTTGATGCAGATTTGTACAGTGTATATAATAAACAAAAAAAATTCGTGCAATCTTTTAAATAGCATATCAAAATATCCGAAATATTGGCAATATTGCTATACACAAGGTCACTCATTTTTCGAGTATTTTATGCCTAGCCAGTCGAGTGCAACTTCAAATGAGCTCAAAATAACACTGTTTGTAGACTTTTATTCCTCTTTCGAATGATACGAGAATCAACCCTGTTGAACTTATGATAAGAAAATCGATTATGGAGAGGTTCAGGAGTCCATGGAGAATCATTTCAATGTAAGAGGCACTCGATAAAATTGTTTTTTCGATTTTTTGTTACTCATTCAACGCATCAATATCAAAAACTGCTAACCCTAAAATTTTAGGTTCTAAGACCCTTCCAATGGATATTTAGTCAACACCGACTTTTAGCACTGTCATACTTTTTCGGAGAAAAATAATAAAAAATACCTTATAAAAGAAGTGTTAGCTTGGGTTTCAGCAGATTATTGAAATTTTTCGTAGTATACCTAGGAAGATAGAGAATTAAAAGCTGAACAAAATAAGCTATATTGGCCTAATAATGGGTAGCAATTCAAGTTTTATAAAGCCAGGGTGTGGGTGCGGGTTGGTGTGGGATGTGAAGACAAGACCCACACACTCACACCCAATAGAGCTATTCTTATATTTTCTTCTAACGTTTAATACATAATTTCAACTTACTTTCTCATTCCTATTCACTGCATTATGTATCGTAATATTTTCAACACTTCGGTATGATAAATTTCACTAATAGACTACTCGTCATTGGAAGTAAGCTATTGATTCATAGTATCAAATAAATCTAGAATACTAATTTTCAATAGTTCAGTTTGATGCTGCTCTATGAAAATCATTGAACTTAAATTCTTCTTTTAAGGCATTTTCTGCTTGAAACATGCACCTGGAAAAAAATTATTACGAATTGAGCATTCGTGTTCTCTTCTATTCTCCTTACAGTTACAATCTGCTATTTCTGTATTGAAAATTCATTAACAGTTCTTGCTTTTTACTAATCGCCACTTGATTCCATTACCATGAAAATTTATTAGTTTTCAGTTTTCAAGCACCAAAACGCATCCATAAAGTACCAGGTGATAAAAAGTTATAATAAAAAGAGAAAAGTAGCGATGAACAATGAGTGTCTTCAGTTTGAGCTATCAGAAATTGAACTTGATGACGAAATGACAAACGATCGACGACCTTTGGTAACCAAGAATGTTGACATTCAGACTGACGACACAACAGTCATGCTCAGTATTGGAAAAACGTATGATCTACAAGATATAATGAATCACGGTGTCAATATCCAGATTAATTCACCAGCTACGTTTGGTGCATCACGTCTAAACAAAAATAGAGAAGAAATACTCGATCAAAATCAACAGGTGATGATTGTGAAGGATTCTAATAATACACCAAATAACACTATAATAAATAATCGTCGACTGGTCGAAGCTGTCACTGAAGAACCAACGTTGACAATTTCGAACATCACCAATGATATTGAGGCAAACCTTGGTTCTATTGTTGGGTACACTGAAGAGTCATTACTACCACTTGTCAAAGCATGTACTCCGCTAACCAGTATTATTCCCAATTTGTCGTACTACGTTGAACTAGCATTGAATGAAACTCCCGAGCAACCACCCGATGGATTGACAATTGATGAAAGCGCTGCAATTCGTCTCTACACAATTGAATGGACAGAAAATCAACGAAGTCTTTATTCAATGCTTAATTATACCCTCAAAAAGGACACTCGTGAGAATCTTCGTCCTTATTTCAAATATCTAAAACTATTTTTAACTGCACTGGCCAAATTACCATGTGCTCCATCATCAACCATTTGGCGAGGAGTGCCAATGGATTTAAGTGCACAATTTCCACTTGGCACATCAGTAATTTGGTGGGCATTTTCATCTTGTACAACTTCATTGGCCGTGCTTGAAAACAACATGTACTTGGGCGATGCGGGTAAGAGAACGTTGTTCTCTGTGGAAGCTATTAATGGTCGAGCAGTATATTCCCATTCACAATTCGTTTCTGAAGATGAAATTCTTCTTCTACCAGGTACCAAAATGATAGTTCAATCACAATTAAGTCCAGCGCCCGATCTTCATATCATTCATTTGAAACAGATCAGACCAAAAGAAATGCTTCTTGAACCTCCATTCAAAGGTATTTCAAAGTTTTTCAAACATTTACTTTGAAATAATAGTATTTCTATATCTAGGTGCGTGTCTTTATCCAAAAACCGAGTAAGTCTAACTACATTTTTTCCTAATTGTACTTTTATTAGAAATTTTCATTCTATTTTTTTACAAGACTTCACTGGTATCATAAGAAGAAATTTGTCGTTCTGATTTGCTTATTGATTATTCTGTTTATCGGTGCAATCATTGTTGGCTCTGTTTTAGGATCAAGACCCACCGCTAACGTTACGAATATTGCAGGTATGATTATCGATATTCTTTTCAACTCAAAGGCGAGACAATTTATTTTGCAACATATTGACTCCTTTATTTCACATGCATTCAAAGACATTAAAATTACTATAGCACAACGAATATTTCACTGTTGCATCTCCTTCTTTCTTCGCCAGATCTTTTTCAAATGTACATAGTGTATTCGAAAAGTTTTCGGGCTAATTTTATTTAGAAACAATAAGAAAAGCTGCTCTATTTGTACTATTGTCTGTGCGTAGTTGATTCAGCAGTTCTCTATCTATAGACATCATAAGCTCAGTTGAATTAAACATATAAAGGATGTCCCATAATAACTGATGATAATTTATTATTGATATCTATAACTAGTGATGAAATATCTTGACAAGACTGAAATTCATAAATTTGCGTATTCTATTTTTCACTATTTTCAATATACAAGGCAATATCTTTGTATGACAAATTCATACATACGCATATACATACAAATTTATATAAGAGAGAGAACCAGCGAGCGATATCGGTATCTGCATGCAAGTGACTAAGTTTTGTTTATTGATACATATAGAAGTATATTTCAATGTAGAATCGCTTGCATTTAATAACAAATTTTATCTTAAATGCCCATGAGTTACGAAATTAGAAAAAAGTTTAGAAATTTTGTATTGAATTTAAAGCGTTTGAACACAACATGGAGTGTTGGTCATATGGTTCTCTTTATTGAAAGTTACGATGATTCACCATTATTAAAACATAAATCATTGCACATCGGAGTGTCACGAATATTAAAAAGATCTTGTCGTTCCGTAACAATTACAGCACCTAAATTTCAACAAAATCTTAATTACTATATTAATTTGCAAAAAGATATGTATTAGAAAAACTGATGTTATTCTAAAAAGAGAACAATTTACATCGTCTAAAAATTCAATGCATCGAAACGTATTAAATGTGCAAAAAACTGAAGAAAAAAATTTGGTGTTAGGAAAAATTCTAAAAAATGGACATGGAATTGTTTTATGAATTTTGATTTCTCAGATTTATTTCGTCTTCAAGGTTTTCAAAACAAAAGAAAATATGGTGTATGAGTCAACGAAGGTGAATAAATTGAAGCGGGTTCAATTAATGCACACACAAATAAATTTCCAAAGAGTGAAATATTTTCGGGTGCAATATCATTACGAGGTCTTCTTCTATCACATGCACCAATTAATATTACTAAATAGCTAAAACAACAACATACTTCATCTGATGAGATACGAAAAAGAATGTACTTAACAAACCAATTGTTTGCTAAATTTGCTAATGTATGGAAAATAGAAAATGTATGGGAAACACTGAAAGAAAAAAATCGTACGAAAGTGTTTGCCCCATCATTCGAATTAGAACAAGAAATTAAAAAAGCATGGAGAAAATTTTTGATAGAAATATATGCGAAAATAATGAATGACATGTTCATACGGACTGAAAATATTGGAAAATCGAATACGAAAATTTATGTATTTCAGTCTTGTCAAATAATGTTCTCCCCTTATTCTAACTACAGAGTTGAAACTTTGAGAAATAAAAGATCTTGATTAGATACATATATATAATAAAAAGTTCAGCTCTACAGATCTAGTAAAAGTATGAAAACTATCACTAACAAATCATCCTCAGTTATTATGGGACATCCTTTATATACTGTGAATTTTACTTTTTCCTTTTCGTTTCTTTTCTCTCTCATATGTATTCTATTTGCGTTCTCTCTCCATTAGGGATATGGCATTAGAGAACTCGGATGAGGTAAAAGATATTGATATCGTGTGCACACGTGGGTGAAGTTGCAAATGTGGATGAAGAGATCATCAACTTGTTCACTCATCCTCACATCCACACCCTCCAAAAATTGTGTGGCGCTCAAATTCTAAATTTTTCGTATCTTACATTTTACTTTTGTCAGGTACAGTTATCAGCAGAGACACTATTTAATAGATTTCATGAGATCTCAGAGCATCATATAACTATACGAACGAAGTGTCTGCTGTTTTTCTGTCGATCAGAATAAATTCGAATGATTCTTTTAGGATGGCTTAACACTGGTAGTATGAATAGCCCACGAACTATTCACACACAATCTGTATTACTAAATGGAAAAGTGTTAGTTACTGGTGGAAATGATAGCAATTCTATTGTAAATAGTGCTGAGTTGTATGATCCATCAACAAGAACTTGGACAACGACTGGTAGTATGAATAATACACGACAATCACATACAGCATCCTTATTAACAAATGGAAAAATATTAGTTACTGGTGGATATAATGGCGATGGGCTAAATAGTGCTGAGCTGTATGATCCATCAACAGGAACTTGGACAATGACTAGTAGTATGATTAATGCACGAATGGACCATACGGCATCAGTATTAAAAAATGGAGCAGTGTTAATCACTGGTGGCTATTATTATGGTCCTCAAAGTAGTTGTGAGTTGTATGATCCATTAACAGGAACTTGGACAACGATTAGTAGTATGAATCATGCACGATTTTGGCACACAGCATCCGTATTGCAAAATGGAGCAGTGTTAGTTACTGGTGGATTGGATAATGGTAATCCCGTAAATAGTGCTGAGTTGTATGATCCATCAACAGGAACTTGGACAATAGTTGGTAGTATGAATAATATTCGATATTCACACACAGCATCTGTATTATTAAATGGACAAGTGTTAGTTAATGGCGGACACAATGGTAACTTTTCTGTAAATAGTGCTGAGTTGTATGATCCATCAACAAAAACTTGGAAAACGACTGATAGTATGATTAATGCACGAGCTTTTCACAAAGCATCCGTATTAACAAATGGAATAGTGATAGTTACTGGTGGATTCGCAAGCAGTTGTTATTTGAATAGTGCTGAACTTTATAAACCCTCGACAGGAACTTGGACAACTGCTGGTAGTATGAATAATGCACGATATCGCCATGAATCATCAGTATTAAATGGAAACGTGTTAGTTACAGGTGGGTTAAGGAGAGATTTAACTGGTGATGCATCAATAAATGTTGTTTTGAATAATGTTGAATTATATATATTATCTTAAACGAATGAACAATCAATAATTTTATGCCTATACGTACATGCAATCTAGACTTCAAAACACAAATTCGATAAAGAAAACTATCGGATTTAAATGAAAATGCATGATTTCCTTGAGATGTGAGTGTGGGGTGTGGGTGTGTGGATGTGTGGGTGTGGGTGGGGATAAAGAGAAGATCTACTCATTCACACTCATCCATCTACCCATACCCACACCCAACTCATACTTGAGAGAAAATTTTACGTTTTGCTTTTTTGTCGCACTTATATGGCAACCTCATATGCGTTAGAATTCAAGATTCAGATAAAATTTTATCCTTGACTTTTGACATTTGGATGCTGGGATGTTTTTGAAAATTTCATTTATATTCGAACTCGAATTAAACAGCTACTCTTTTCTTTACACAGATCGTTCAATTTAAAATGTCGAATGTCTAACAACAAGTGAGTATGTATTAGAGGTAATTCATAGATAAATAAGATCTAATTTATTTGTATATTTTGTTTAAAGCTAAGCTACAGATGTTTAGAATTTATGACCAATAATTATCCGTTGTCATGATTTGTTATCTTCGATAGTTTGAACAGACGAAATTCGCAGACGAATGACGTTCCTTTTCTTTTCTCAATAGCACAAATAGAGAATGAATAACTGACATATTTGATTCATGTAAAACATTACTCATTCACTTAATCTGAGATAACGAATTTCTACATTTTTTTAGACGACGTAAGGAATTCTATCTATCTATCTATCAGCTACAATAAAAAGATGACAACGCAACTGCAATTAACCCCTAGAATGGAGGAGATACAGTGTTAAATTGTATGGCTACAATAAGAATAAGTAGCCATGACTGATGAGACCCTTAAGCATGATCAAAACCAGTCATGACTGCTTATTCTTATTGGTACCCATTTTTGTAGAGTTTTTGAGTCATTGAATTTGCCATCCTTTTTTTCCGCTTAAAAAGTAATAATTTAGGAAGAAGAGCTCTATCGGATTGTGCATCATTTGACGCTCCTTCAAACAAAAAAAAACATTTTATATATATTGAATGAGCTTGGACAAAGAAAAATGGGTTGCAAATTAATCTATTTTTGATCCTTGTTTGGTTTATATCTATGTCAAACATTATGATATCGGGCTGAAAATTTCATGCGATTTGAACACACCTAGGCTGAGATCGGTTTTTGAGGGGGAAAACCTTAATAAACTCTTTTGACATTTAGGATATATTTTCTAAATTATCTCCTGAATCCTTTTAAAAGCGTATATGACAGCATTTACTATATGTTCCATTTTCATAAACTCTTTAACAGCTCATTAATATACCTCTTTTTGTCACAGAACAATGTTTCCAAGTTTTACTATGTGCAGATTCTTCTTTTAGTGTATGCAACGAGCTGTCTTATTTAACTTAAAATAGGATTATAAAATGTGTGATGTTATTTTGATAAGACAAGGAAAACAATAATTTTTTTGATGCGTCGGTTACCACCATATGCAGTTTTCAGAAACAAAAAGTATCTCAATGCTATATAAACGTTTTTCTTTTCTATTTATCAATATTTACTCTAGCGGCATACGTTTGTTAAAAGAGGGTGTGAGCGTGGTTGTATATGAAAAACCCATACCCACACCCACACCCACACCATCCACCCAGCCACACCCACATTTCACACCCAGCCACACATCCTTATCTCGCTGAAAAATATTATTTTCAATCCGTGTATGTTATTTCTCTATATTTTCTCGAATTATAATCATCAGCTAACGTAATCTGTACTTCTTTTTGCTGCCATTGAAAACAACTGTATAAGGACCTGCTCATAAAGAACATTAACTCAGAGCTGTAACTGGTAGAGTATTTTCCTTACTGATACGGGCACCAGTAGAAACTATCAGACCGGATGCGTCATACTGCATATTTTTGGTTCTATAACAGTGAAATGTATCTTTCGATGAGTCATTCTGTCGTCTAATCAATTCATTACTGACATAACAATCATTTTGTGGTGTTTTTTTCTGTTTATTTCCATAAGTTTTCTTTTTTTCACTTAATAGCTATTGGTGAGCAGAAAACTGCAAAGCACTACAACTTCTATACAGTCTCCTGCACTCTTTAATTATTCGTTAGATACGAACATTATTAGTTAGTTGTACACTCAAGCTGTTTCATGGACTACACTGGCTTTATTGTCTTTCATATTTGTGCGAAATCTACTCTGTAAATGATAAAGAAGGCATAAATCTTCGATGAACTACAATACTGAACAAATCTGTGATCCTTTAATGATAATATAACTTGATATAAAAATGAGCTACAAAATTATTGATACTGGATGTATTGTCCGGAATTTTGATTAAACCGAGTAGTCGAATGCATCCATCTCGAAAAAAAGTTTTCAACATCAATAAGAGGTGTTTGGTATGCGAAAAAAAGCACTTTTACGGACACTTTTTGCAAAAAATATATAAAAGTCCGGAAAAAAATTTGTACCGAGCCAGTAGAGAAAAAGTTGTCTGTACCAGCCGGTCGCCGATACTGGTTACAGCTCTGATATTCGTTTATCTCGTTCGCCGTGGTAGTAAATGGGTGTCTAGTTCATGATTACTGTTTTGCATTCGATGTTATTCATCAAAGCTAATCGTAGAAGAACATATGACTCGGAATAAGGGTGTGGGTGTGAGTGTGTGAGCAGAAGTGAGTAATTACAAATATACAGCCACCCACACCCTCAAACTTTACGAGAATCTAATGGTGAATTCCTATGCTTGATTCTATATGTCTCAAATAACCAATTGTATTAAAATTGAAAGTTCAATGGAACTATTTCGGTTCGAAAAATCTTTCTATAATATTTTGAGTTACCTAAAATGAATCTTGAGAGAGCTAAGAACTAGTTTCCAAGTGCATCCTTAATTCGACTAACAAGACAAATATTTATTTAGTAATACATGTTGTTCGTTCTTTTAAGAAGAAATCTCGTCTCTTTTTCTAAATACTTATATAGACAATCATATAAGAACAAATTATTTTGTATTTAATAATTGTTGAATTTTCCCATAAAGTTTTTCATCCCAAATTTGATACCCACGAAGATTGAGATGAACATTGTCAGTTAAATGATCTAGTTGTATTTCTTCAGGTGGTTCTATCCAATGAACACGATTGTTCTCTTCTGCTTGTCTTTTTGTTTCTTGTGTGTTAATCATATTAACAATTTGTTTTATATCTATATTTGATTGTAAAACACACTGGTCGTCGACGTCTCTTCGTTTAAAAAGGCCTGTAACAAGTATTTGTGTTTGGACAGGCAAAAATCTAAGCAAAGCTTGCAAGAGAAGATGATAGTTATCTAAATGCAGACCATGTAACGATCGTTTAGGTTGAAGATTATTAGTGCCTATGTGTATCACAATGAGTTTAGGATTCTTAGCTTTCAGCATGATGAGTAATCCCAATTCGATACGATAGAGTACATTTTCAACCTTATCTCCACCCACACCAGCATTGAACATTCGCGGATATTGTAGCTGACCGATCTGCGTATCCTTTCCCGTGGTTTTGAATCGTTCCAACATAGAATCGCCAAGAAGAACAACATCAATCTGTGGTGGAAGTTCCGATGTAGTTGTTGTTGGAGAAGAATTGATCAAAGAAGAACTTTCTAATTGTGGTCGGTGAGTCTCGGTATGTGTATCATGAGATCGTTGTTTAAAACGAGCTCGTTCGTTTATCAGACCCTCAAGTTGTGCATCAGAAAGATGCTGAAGTTGAAACGATGTTGAAGACATTTTTTCGAATGAAAACAGAAAAGAAATAAAAGTGATGATTAAGTAATAACATCTATCTGTATTTTTATTAATGACGTTATAGAAAAAGAAAGAGAAAGAAAGAGAAGGAACAAAAAACTTGATGTTATTTCACCGACAAACGTAAGAGCAAATGTCTGTGCGCTTGCATCATTTTTTTCTGTTCTCTCAAGTCATTTCTGTCTGTTGTGTAAGATGAGGTTTTTCCGTTTTATTATTGTATCATACATAACTCATCGTCACATGACACACTATTGCACAAATCATCAATATCGCTTTATTGTTCGCAAAGAGTACCTGTTAATAAGTTAAAAGATTTTATTTTGATGAACTTGAATTATTTATGTATTAAAATAACATTGACGGCGAAACAATGTAAAATAAGGGAAGATTCAAAAAATCTTTCCAACGATGAGAGAAGAAGTAATATTGATTAATTTTTCCAAATCTCTAATCTTTCCTAAGATTCTTATAAGTTTAAATTTGTGACGATAATTATTAACAATTCCCAACGAGAAAATTGCTTATTCATTGTTTTTCATTATGTTTTTTGAGAGCGTCTTTCAAAAGCGTAGACTAAGACCATTCTCTATAAGCCGTCAAAGACAAAAACAAATTTCAAACCAATCATGTAGACAAAATATTGAAACAGTGTATGAATATAACATATCAGTTTGATGAAATCTTTGTTTTGACAAATATCTTAGATAGAAGCACTTCAGATCTACACAAGCACAATGTGTTGCATGCAAAACATAAATTTTACTGATTAATAATTCCTTTCACACAATCACTAATTGCGTCGTTTCTTGAAAAATACGACTATTTCATATATGTTCATAGTGTTTATTGATGTAGAATCAGGGCGATGTTGTCAACATTTCCATTGTTTAATCAACCGAAAACACGAGCCAATCCTTTGATTTTGAATACAATTGTTCAAGTTGTCGATGAAGATCTTGTAGGAAGAATCCCATCTTAATAGTACTCTCCATATCTTGTGTTCTCAACGCTTTGTTTAACATGGAATAAAGAAACCGTTCTTTAGTATATCACCAAATTGACGAATGAAGATGATAATCACAATCAAATATATTGATTAAATGGAAACATTTCGATATTATCTACATAAAGACGATGCAGAAAATCGAGAAATTTTTCTTTCACCTTTTCATCGTATTACATGTCAAGAAGAATATCTTTCAACAATTGTGAATATATAAAAGATTTATCAAGTTCACTCAAATCATCCTTAAAGATATCTGTCGAAGACGGAATACTAATTGGTATTAAAGGGTGGGTGTGGTTGTGAGTGTTAGTCTTTCCTTTATTCACATTCACATCTACACTCCACACCCACACTCACACCCGTATCCGCACCCTCTTTTTTGCGAACAACTTTATTCTTCTCAGTAGATTTTATTTACAGAAATTTCTCGCTCAATCCTTTAGCTAATAAACCAAAACTAAATTGAATTATGACCAGAATTAATATCCTTTTTAAAGTGACTTTGAAAAATTTGACAAAAATTTTCAACAAGACGTTTTTTTTATTATCCTTTGAATTTAGAAAAAAAAGAAAATAAACGGTATTCAACTGTGAAAAATTATATATTGTTTCCATATATTTAAATAATTGTTTTATTTTATTCTGATTAGTGAAGGAGTATATCAGCTCAATCAATAGTAGGGTTAATAATGTTTCTATTTAGTCATTTGATGCATTCTAGAAATTGCTTGTCAACTTGGTAATGCGTAATCATGCAGTCTTTAGAATATCTCTAATAAAACAATAAAGTATACATATTTTCATTGCTTCTTCATACAGACAAGTGTAAATATAGGTAAGATAACAAATTATATCTAGAGTAATAATTTCATCTATTATTTTTTCCTTTCATCGAAGATTTTTGGCTGATTTCCGTTCAATCTACATTTCGTCGGTGATCGTTTTTTGTAATAAAGTCTATAATATTGGCCAATATCGAAGTTCTCATTCTCTCAATATTCCATCGCTATTTTCGTTCACAACTGCTCACAATGATATCAATTATATAATTTGATCATTGGTTCTCTTGTTTATATTTAGTTTTATTGATCATAAATTATTCGTTGAACTCGGTTTTGTTGGAAATCTGAACATCGATTTTTTTCTTATTGAGATGCTCGAAATTATTTTAACAGAGGCAACTTTATACGAATAAATTTTCTTCATGATTCGCTTATATCACCTAAAAAATGATTAATTTAACAACCACGCAATATTTAGCGTGCAACATGTTGTGATCTGATCTCAAATAAAAATGGTTTCAATTAAAATACACTCAATATCTCGTCAAGATTCAGATTTATTCTGTATCCTTCTGATTTTTCCAAGTTAAAATTCTACAGGTTCTCTGGCTTATGGGGGAATGAAATCGATCATGGCTTTGATACGAATAATACCAATCTATCGATTAGTATTTTAACAGTAGACTGAGATTTTTAATATCTATATCGAAAACGATTCCATTTAATGAAAAAATCAGTACTGAAATTGATAGGAAATAAATGAAAGACAGATTCCGCAAATCGCTCTTTCAAAATGGTCTTCAATGCAATATTTTTCCTCTTCGTAGGCTCATGTAGCGTGTAATAGCATATGGCAAAAAAAATGGTATAGATTGACCTAAACTGAAAATGTGGTTTCGATTGAGTCTGTACTGACTGAAGTCTACGAATCTACATTCTCTTGGACACAATCTGTTCGTTACATTCTCGTAAAACAGGTGCAATAAAAAGAAAAGTTTCCCTTGTCATTAGTTGAGATTTATGTCGCCTGTCTTAAATAAGAAAGAAAAGAAAAAAAAACAAATTCATTTGTCGTCGACAATCCATGTCACTTACTGGGAAGGGATAAAATAGAAAACGGATTTTTCTTTTTTTTCTTTCTTGGTCAAGATTGTATTTACTCTATTACTATGGCAACTAATGCAAATAAAAAGGTGATGTGTGCACATTCTGAGAGACACAACAACATCAACGAAACAGAAGTCATTTGCAAGCTACGTTGGTAAGATTCTGATTGTGAGGCTTTTTAATATTTCTACAATTTTTGATTATGTTTCAGTCAAAATCTTCTCATCGTTCAAAAAAGAATAGTATAATCCCAAAGACAAGTAGAATGACTTCTAATAGTGCTTCATCATCTCATTTCTACAAAGAACGACAAGGAGTTTGTTCGATATGTTCAGAAAATGATTCTAAATTAGTCAATATCTCGAAGAAATGTACACACTTAGCAAACTGCTGCGTTCCATGTTTGACACAAAGTATTACTACTGATATCGAATCGAAGGGAGCTTATACCTTTGAATGTCCAATGCCAACATGCAATATCAAATTCGAACCTGAGGAATATTACCATTTATTAGACAAACGACTCATCAATATAGTAGATAATTTGTTGTTACATCGTATCCTCGAAGCTAATGAAGAATTTAGATGGTGCAAATCAACCAAGGGATGTGGAGCTGGACAGCTCGTGTCTAATCATAGAGATTTGCTTGGGTATGTCATATGAAACGCAAGACTTGAGACTAATGAGCTTCAAAGCCTTTAATTATAATGAAGTATTTAGAAGAGGCGAATATAAAGTTAGTGTGATACCCCTCTCGAATGACTATATGAGCAATTTCATTCGGAAGAGTCGGCTATGGTTCGATCTTCGAAATGAAAATATGATGCTCGCATGCAGGAATCGATTGTTCTCGATTCTAGCCTATAACGCAAATACTGATGCATTGAATTCCTGCATCATATTCTCAGCTTCGCAGTCTAATCATCTCCGACATTTTCCATTCGGAATCAATCGTACGTCTTTTATTTTGGTGGAGCGTGTGGGTGTGGGTGTGAGTATGCGTGTGGATGACCATTGATTGAACCTACACCCACACCCAAATTTCTTGGAAATCTATCCAGACTCAATTTTGAGGAATTGATGGAACTCAATTCATGTTGGTAAGGTCTATTATGTTAAACGATAATTGAGTTCCCAGAACTGGATTTAACTGATTCCGCAATGTTTAATATTGCAGAATAGGATGACTACTCCTTTTCTACAGTGAACATGGTCAAAATTTCAGAACGTGTGACAAATTACAATAGAAAAAACGGACTCTTTTAATATGAGAGGCGGTTTCCATCATAAAAGCTTTCAAATTTGATAGGATTTCATTGCATCCTGCCGATTGTCCCGAGAAAAAGCATCCGTGCTTTGATCGAAAAAATCGAATTAGAGTAATATTATTCTCACTTTTATCTCATATAGATTTCAACCATATTTTCCAATGCTATGGATACTCCTATGAGGTTTTGTTTCCAAAAGGCATCGAGGTTCCAAACCTGCACTCTCTCTCTCTCTCTTAGTTGACTACCTGATTGAATTTTTATTCATTTTCAGGTATTATACATGTTATGCTTGCGATACAATGTTGTGCTTTCGTCACTCAATTGAATGGCATAAGGGTTATACTTGTGATGAATTCGATGAGGAACGAGCTCAAAATGCTGATTTGGCTTCTGATATTACTGTCTTGGCATTCACCAAAAAATGTCCGAATGAGGCATGTGGCACTCCAATCATGAAACATGAGGGATGCGATGTGATGACTTGCTGTCGTTTCGGGTCTCATACTTGTGCTGAATCAAAGGGCAAGTGTGATCATGGAGGACGAAACTATTGTGGACAACGATTCTGTTGGAGTTGTCTCGGTAAGATCGATATCGACAAGAAGACAAATAGTTTTATAAGACATTGCAAACCAACTTGCAAGTATCATTCATTGAATTAATGAACATACAAATTTTGTAGCGTGATATCATCATTGAGTTATTCGAGAATTTATATTTATACTAACCATTTTTAAAATGATTAAATAAGATTGAGTAACTGTATTCTTTTTTCTTTTTCGTTTTATTGATGATCTAATAATGACGAACGACTAACTGACTTTCGGTAAAATTTGAGATTTTCCTTTGTCAGTTTGCATGCGAATGTGTCTGAAAAATCCATTTTCTGTTATGCTAAAAAATCTGTGACATTCTCTTGATGAATACCTATATTTCATGCACGTATTTAATCGACAAGTTTGAGCATCGATAAATAGATTAGAGAACCTTTTCAGGACTGCGATGAATCTTATAATTGTAAGCATAAAAGAAGTGAATTATATGGATATCTTTTCAATGATAATTTTCCTCGAAATTTTTCATGGTTATAGAAGTTTCATTGATGAGTAACTATATAGAGTATGAGAATTAATGCAACCACGAACACGTGCATAATGAGTATAGACAACATCTGATGATAAAATACGCACAAAATGCCTTTTTATTCTTGAACTTATTTGTGACTATAGAATTGAATTAGTGGATAATATTAATGCTGATTGAATAAACAGATCGTCGTGCTCTCTCCTTATGTTTCAGATATAAATACGGTATTATTTGGTTGTAGAAAAAACAGATAATTCCTGCAAGATTACAAATCTTCATATTGCATAAGGTAAGCACACATTCACCTCATAAAACATTCTTCTGAATTCAAAGTATTTCAAACACATCCGTAACTATCAATTGATTTTTTAACGATAATAAGAAATATCCATCGTTCATTTTTAAGCTAGTTAGGAAACTGTGGAAAAGCTGTCTTAATTTGTAATTTAAACTTTACAGTAATATTTCTGTAGATCATCGAAGAAAAATCTTGGTAAAATTGTCTTTCATTCCTTTGTGTTAGTATATACTAACGAAGAAAAAATAGAATAAAGGTCGATTTTATGAAAATGATGCAAAATCTATATTTGACCTTATTACCGAGCAGTGCTCAGAAAGTTTTTCACCAATTAAATCAATAAAGCAAATCGGTTAAAACTTTACATCCTCTCACACGTTATACTTCATTAATTCTCTTGATTTTTTAGTTTTATGCAAGCAAAGCAAAAAACCGGTTGATTATGGTAGAGAATCCAGATATGGGCAACAGTAATACACGGGTACGCAAACTTCTTCGACATGGATAAGTGAAGATCGAACCCAAACTTGTCTCAGTATAAAATAGTTCATATCAAAATTACTAAATTGAAAAATATTTGATAGCATTATCTTACTCATATTTCAATGGCTGCCTTCTCTTCAGTATTACCTATGAGCTATTGATAATACTATCCACAGTGATCACAATAATTGTCTTTGAAATTTATGAACGATAGTCGGACTATTTTTTTCCGTAGCAGAAAATGTCTTGAGGTTTAGATTAAGAAATTTATGAAAAGAAACTTAGTCGTAAAGCTTGTGCTCATTATTCGATTTCAGCGAGAAAACTTCTCTAACGCGTGAGTTTACCTTCGATGTTAGGTGTTCATATGCTCTCGAAGTAATTCAATTTAGAATTGATTTTAAATGTTTATTTGTATGTTAAGAATAAAGAACACAATGGTGATGATTCAGAACATAATAAAGTGCGATCAACAGACCAATGTATCAACAATTCAACCTCAGATAATGCTCAAAAGAACCAAGGTGGAATCTCTGTACAGCGTGACAACGTAGAAAGATCCGATTCTTGCAATATGAACCGAACATCCCAGAATTTCAAAACTAACGAGCCGATAGTGAACGATTCAGAAATTGTTCAAAATAACGCACGTCTAATCAATGATTTTCAGAACAAGCAATTAGTATCTGAGAACAGTCAAAACAACGAACCAACATCCGAAAACATTCAGTACAACAGATCAAAGTCCATGGGTCATAAAACCGATCAGCAAAAGGTCCCGAATCTTCAAACAAGCAAGTCACTGTCAATGGATCCTCAAAACAACGAGATGCCTACGAACTCTCAGAACAATGGATCGATTTTCAACGGTTTGCAAAAGAATGAACCGATGTCAGACAATAATTTCAAGAATGACGAATTCAAATCCAAAGGATCTGAACAAAGCAAAATCGAATGCAATTATCAATCTCCAGTTAGTATCGAAAAACATCTATTTCATTCTGTCAAGAGAAATCCTCCGGATTAGTTACAAACTATATTGTGCCGAAAACTTCTTGTTTTCTCTTAACTAATCTCATTGAAAAAATACTCAGTTTTTTTCTTCTTGAAAGTTGAATTATTCGTTTAGTTTTTTACTAGGAACACTCATCAATATCCTCATTTCATCTAAAAGGTGATACCCAAGAAATTAGAAACAGAGATCATGACATAGTTACAACTGAAATGATCAAGAAATATTTAAGTTGATACGTGTTAGCCTTTTTTGGCAGATCATTGACGTAATAAAATCAAAAAAATACACTAGAGTTTACATCTACTAAGCGGACATGCTCATCCATACACAAAGAACATGAAAATATTAATATTTGAATTTTTCAGTGCATCATTTTAATTGAAAATAGTTTGAGAAACTTATTAAATTTTCATCAGCTAATAGATTACATCTTATGAACCTACTTATAGACTTTTATCTTTGTATATTGTTAATCAGGTAATCCGACTTCTGAAACCCGAATGTCAAGGAATACGTGAGAGAGTTGAACTGCTTGGTGAATTGATCACAATCAAGAAACTTGATTCAGTTCCTGATGTTTATGATGAAATGGCACATATAATCGCAGCTACCGAGCGAAATGAACGTTTACAAGCTGGTCCTGATGGGAAACGTCTTCTTGAATTGACAACTGCAGCAAAAAGCAACTTGAATGTTGATTTGAACAAACTCGATATCGAATTACAACGTCAATTTGGATTGTATTCGGTTGAAGTTACTGGCGATGGTGTAAGAGTCTTTTTATTCTCATTACTATTTTTTGTTTTAATCATTTACTTTAACAGGCATGTGCCTTTCGGGCTATTTTGATTTCGGGTAAGTAGTTCATCAGGATTCAGAAGCGTATTTAACAGTCGGTAAATATCTTTTGAATATAGGCATGCAAAAGCCTGATTTTTATCACAGTGAAGTACGAGAAAAGGCTATTCGCCAGGTTCTCAGTGATATACCTTATTACTCTACTGTACTAAGACCTGGAGATAAAGTGAGTGAGAAAGAATTAATAAACTGGGCACAAACAATGGACGATCCAACCACATATGGAGATGAAATGGCTAATATAGCTGTAGCTGATCGATATCACATTCAACTGGTTATTTTTCGTGCTGGTGAATTACTCACTATGGTCAATCCACGCGATGGACATGTTGAACATACCGCTTTTCTTGTCAACGTCGGTACTCATTACAAAGCACTCGTCTCTTGGTATGAATTGGAAGAAGCACGTAGAAACTCTGAACGTCTTCAGAAATAGAATATCCTAAATTAATTTAATTCCAGTATTGATTTTTAATTATATCCATTTGTATAAAGAGATAAAGTGATTAACATTCTATTTTTTTCTAGGCAACAAGTATCAACCAATGTTTGTTGTTCTTCGTAATTGTGCAAAAATACGAAATAAATAAGAACGAGAGAGAAAATATTTTTCAAAATCAATAACTGAATGATGAAGAAAATAAGCATGTGTAACAGATAATCAATAGCGAAAATGAAAATGCTTTTATCATTTGTCCCCAAGAGCGTAATGTACTCCTGCTTTTAAAAATCAATCATCCAGCTCCCTTTCTTCCCAGACTCGTCTAACTGCGTCCACTACTGATAGTATAGCCATCAGGAGCACAAAGGTGCAGTGTCTCTTTGTAAATGATTTTACTCCCTCTGTAAATTTTTCATCGAAAATCGGTGGAGAATGCGGGTGTGGGTGTGAGTGTTGGTGTCAATCTTGTTTTCATTTACACCCATACTCACACTCCGCCCTGGTTGCTACCCATTTCAAGGGTCTCTTCTTTCTTAATTGTTCGTTTATTTCACGAGTGTTGCTTACAAAAAGATGACAGCAAATAGGCGAAATCTCAGTACGTGTAGCAAGAAGCAATGAAGAAGAGCGAAAAGAAGTAAAATGAATGCAGTGTCGTCATTCATAGAAAATAAAACAAGAAAACTCATTAATAGAATTCTAATAATGTTGTTTGTGGTTCCTATTGTTAATTGCTTATATGCTTAGCTTTTCTCTCACATAATAGGTAGGGTACGAATTTGGTCGTATATGTATGGAGTGTGAAGTAACCATTTCCGTTTTTTGTACGAATGCTGTTTACGTTGAGATGGATATAGATGGAAGTAGGTTTAGGTATAGAACTTCCAATTATACTTCGTCTATAATCTTTATTACTCAATACATGATATATTTTTGTAAAGCAGAAAAAATAACTCAGTGTGATATAAATCGTAGAACTTGTATTGTTTCATTTGCTCCAAGTCGGTTCGGATATATTTGACATTAATGAGGAAGACGAGATTTATTAAAGGAAAACGAAGGGTGTGGGTGTGAGCGTGAAAAGCAAGATCTACACCCACACCCTGAGATAGGTACACTTAACTTGACAAATTCACATAATTTTTATTGGAGTTTCCGGGATATACCTGAAGACTTTCCCTTGCTAGCTACATTCCGCCGTTTTTGTCATGAATTTCTTATGTTTAATTTAATTATTCTTACAGAAAAAGAGTAGAGCGATTGCGTATTATTATTATTGTATTGCTATGCAAGAGCCAAACGTACATTTATGGACAGACGAACCAGCTGACACCTGCATTATGTGTGAACGAATCGCCCCAGGATCGAAAACGGAGATTGAATCCATATGGAGTAATCGATTCTGCCGACACTTGTATTCGGACATTACGATCATGGCTTCTACATACAAAAATAGCAGTTTTTGCCCACTGAACATTTCAATAGTTATAACAATAAACATACTGTGTGTCAATCATCGATAATCCAACATGAACAAGTGAGGGTGTTTGTTGAAAAGGCCACTTGAATAAAACAGCTTTGACAACGTTCCTATTGATGCACTGAGAGTTAGGGTTTGCACGTGTGTTGTTGGTCGTTGCAATTCGGAATTCACTTACTCCATTAAAATAATCGCAGTAGTCCATTGTCACCTGTCCACTTTGACCTTTGAGAGAATGAATATTGGTACAATTATCTCAATGAGAACTGGAATGATCTCACTTACATGAAGTCATCTGTTCACTGAGTCCGACAGATAACTGATTGAGAAAACAGGTGAGAAACAAACCGATAAAGAAATATTGCATGGCAGTGTTCTTCGAAATCCACTAGAGAAGAGAAAATAATGTATGATATATTTTTGCTTGCGCGTGTATTTATTGTAGTTTGGATAGAGACTGAAATCAAAACATTCTTATCCTAATGTCAATATCGAGTATTTCAGCGATAATTTGTCATCTGACGTCAACTCTTCGTTATCAACAGCAAAGAACAAATCCTATTTAGTTACGATCAAGTGCATTATCAAACTTAATCTTTGCCTTCTATACACAGCTAAATGCTGAAACTATCTGAAAACAATTTACTGATATCCAGCTGAGGTCTGCCTCTCAGTCATAGTAAATGATTTAGTGTATTTTCGCCGAACGTGAATTTCGCTGAAAATAAAGTTCGCCGAATAAATTTTATCACCGACAACGAATATAAGTTGCATTTAATCCGTCTTATAGACAACAATGAGGGTGTGGGTGTGGGTGACCATTGATTGGACCCACACCTACACCCACACCCACACCCTTAGAATTAGCTTTGTGTGTCGGTATAATGTCTTTTCTTCGAAAAATTTCAAGGAAGACACGTCATGATAAAGTAATGATTTATTCTAAGAATGATATAGGATTAATAGGCAAGCAACATTAGATAAAGTATCATTACAGTGACATAATTCTATCGCGCACGCAAAACGAATGACGAAAAACTTACTTGTTATCATTGTCTGCCGGTAGAAACAAAGCAACAAAAGAACGAAACAAATGTGAAAGGAGTCATTGTCATCTGGCTTTTTTTTCATTTTCAATTTTACGTAGTTAATGTTTTTGAACAGCTGTCTCAATTCCTTTTTGATATCAACACAGACAACATAAATGTCATTATCGAACAACAAACATATGAAATCAAGAGAGTAAATGAAATGAGAAACTTGAAGTATTTTCAAACGGATCTAAAGCTTGATATTCGCTTATTATCAATAGACGGGGCGAGTTCTTCAAATATTACGCGCCGTTTTGAATTTGATATAAACCAATTTCTAGATTTTGATGAGAAGCCTAAAATAATTCATGCTTATAAGCTGTTTTTTTCAAGTTATAGTAATCGTTTCACTAAATTTTTTCGATCGCTAGCAATATCTAGATGAAAAACATTAAATTACAAAACATTGATCTGGATATTGCATATTTAAAAGATTTTATGTACTACAAAGAATAGTTAGAAATTCACGTGTCTTCGACATTCGATATCTTAAGAATAAATCTGTTTTTGAGCTGCAATTTTCTGACTTTTCTATTGACAGTGAGATCAACAGATAAGCAAAGTTTCAGATAAAAACTCTGTAATTCAATTATTCATGAGTATAATTCGAGAAGAACAGCTTATAAAGATGATTCATCTATGAGTTTCTCCTAGTCTCATCGTGATCTACACACTGCTATATATCAGATTCAAAACTAGACTATTGTATAAACAATCTTCCATAGTTTTTGTTACCATTTCCAATTGATTTGCAATCATCTAGCTTATAAACAAGGTAACCGGCGAATACCAACTAGTGTGAACAACTTCAGAGTTGTTTCCTATTTGAATCATAGATCAACTTAAGATTTTTTCTAAACGAGCGATCTTGGTTCAATCGCTAAGAAATGTAAAAGGGAATTTCTTCATATTATTTCCATGAATGAAGAAGGACTATTATTTTAAAGTTTAATAAAAATGAAATGCAAAACGTTTAGTCTTTTGTTTTCGGAAAAAATGTTTTTCGTACTTAATTAATCATTAAATATTGCATTAATATAATTTTTCATTATTCTTGATTGTCTTTTATTATGCATTAGACATCGTTTATTGATTAATTGTTTATTAACTAATTGTTGATATTGACTATTATGCGAATATACAATTGAGTGAATTAACAACAAATAGAAAAGATCAGGTTATGCATTCAATTCATCAGTTTGATTAATTTTATTTCGTATCAGATAAGGAAGTTCAACAAATTCTGTACAAGTTGTCTTCCTTAAATCGATCAATGGCTTGAAATATGTATTGTTTTACTTGATGGTACACGGGGTCATTATCAGAATCTTATATATCATACGATTCTTTTAATGTACGAAGACAATTATTCCGATTCTTCGAATCAACATAATCATCTAATATAAAATAACTATGAAGACCATTTTAAAGGTTTTCTAATGCAGTTAATGAATAAATAGTTGGGTGTGGGAATAGATGTGAATATCCATGAACAGATGATCCACACTCACCCCCACTTTACATCCACACCCACACTCACACTCACACACCCACCCCACCCTATACAGCAGTCGTATTGATAATGGTTTAATAAATTAAAAAGTTACCAAATAAAAATGAACAACATATATCAAGCTTTATTGAAATGGGAATGAAAAAACAATCGATTTAGATCCAACTTTGTGTAGATGATAAAAGGACAAAACTTTTGTATTCACAATAAGAACGAAATCCTCAAAATTTGAATCAAATGTTTATTTCAAGATAATGTTACATTCAACATTGTTTTCTCTTTGTCGTAACAACTCATCATGATTCGTGCCCAAAATACAACATTTCTGATTATCGCATAAGTGTGATTCATACCACCATTGTGATTCAGGTAATAAGCCAGGATGATTGTCTGTAACACGCACCATTATACCCGTACAAATAATAGTAGAATTCGGATCATTAAAATCCATCAAAGGTTTTCCTTGTGCATCGATAAGCCATTCGATAGAATCATTGTTGATGTTCAAATCAATTTTAGTTTCACAAGCGCCCAATGTTTCACGATCAATTTTTATCATATATTTTGGGTGAACGCGGCATTGTAATACAAATTGAATATAATTTCCATCTTTGAAAAATGCTCTCTCATCTGAGGATTCTATTTTTTTTACTTCGGAATATCTTGGATGACACGCATAAGTAATTGCTGGAGTTGCATATATTCCTTGACCATATGCTGCTATTTCTGCTGGTGCTAATCCACTCAATAAAATCGAGAGACCATGAGAAAATTTCGTACCATGATAACATATACACCATCCTTTAAATTTTGCATAAAAATTTTCCGTAATATAAAACGAATATCTTTTCCATCCAGTAGGACAATAATATGGTTGATTACCACGATCTAATCCATCTGGAGTGGTATCGGTCCAAAATGTTTTATTTGGAACATATAAATGATTATATTGTGGATACAGAGTCATGTCATAACGAAACTCTTGCTTGCTATTTAATGATTTAAGATCACCCATAAACATGAAGAAAACTCTTAACTTAGCTAATTCATCTTTGATTGTGTCGGTAAGTGAATAATAGAGAGCTTTGACTTGAATTACTATTGGTTGAGAACCAATGTTTTTGATAAAGTCAAACACTACTTTGACAGAACCTTTCTGCATTTTACTAATAACAATATCACTAATATTGAAGAGACTGCAAATTTTTTTGAAAAATTGTTTTACATCAAACTTCTTCCCGTCTTCATCAATAATAAATACTAATGATGCCGATGTTAATTCAATTTTATCATCAAAAATGTTGTCAGACACAGAAATGAGTGGTGTATGTGTTATATTATAATAATGTTGACATTTTTCATAATAAGTTTCTTCGGCTGTAGATATCGGTTCTGTAGACCATTCAATGTGTTCTTCTATTGGTGTTTTATTTTCGAATTCGCTATTATTTATTAGTTTAACATGTTCAGTTATTTCTTCGTCTAGGAATAAACAAACAGAGAGATAAAAGAAAGACGTTTTTTTTTATGTTTTTCATTTATCTCGAGAGAGTCCACGATGATACCTATCAATTGACACAATATCGAACTTTCTGTGATCATTTTTTCATCATATTCAATCTAAAATATGTATTTCCGATTTATTTAGCATCTGCTGTTCGTTTTCTTTAAATATTTTTTTCCAAATTTCTAGGCATAGAATATTGATTGTAGATCTAACAAGGTTGTAATTACCGAACTTGCTCAAGACTTAGTTACACCGATTTTATTCGTAAGTTTTGGAGACAGGTGTTTATCAAAACACCGTCATTATTTAACGGTTTTTATTCGAATATGAAGCACATCTGTGGGTTAGATTTGTACAATTCTTCGTTTTTATGTGCATTCTTTATACGAACTCATAATGAGAATAAATTAGTAAAACGAAAATGTTAACCTTAAATTCTTATTTCTTAGATTACGGTTAGAATCAACACTGCATTCGAGTAAATTTATTTTCGATATAGTTTACACTACAGACTTCGAGTTAATTTAGCCTTTCTTCTCCTTCGTCTAACTCAGATGGGTCAATATTTTCTAAGGTAATCATACTAGAACTTCACATAGTTTTTATTTCTTTTGCACGAATACCTTTTTCAATTGTTGACTCCTCTGACTTTTTGTTCGCATTTGTTGATTCTTTTTGATGTAACAGTAATGGTGATCGTCTTGACGATTGAATCTCTTCTGTAACTGATCGTTGTTGAGCCGATGGTAGTGGTGGCAGTTTTAACAGATTCCTATGAATCTTCACATTCGAGTAGACTCTCATTATTTCATCATGCCGCATCACAGTCAACGTGTTGATGCGTGTTTGTAGCTCTTCCAAGAGACGATTGCGCTGCTTTTCAGCCTTTGCGTCACCTTTTTGTTTGTTGTACATGGTTACAAGCATACGTGCCCGAGACTCCGTTATATCTTCACTGTATTCATAGATTTTGTTCAAGTCACCAGTCTCTTGCGAATCCATATTTTTAGCAAGGAGAAATCAATAATTACAAGATCAATATCGCGCATATTATCATCAGAGCAAGAAGAAATAATCTAAAACAAAAAAGAATAATTCTTTTGCGCATAAATGTATCGTATTATTTCTACTATGACATGATCTGAATCAGTAGATTTTAGACTATTACACTGATGTCAAGTTATTCGTGAATGACAGTGCTCTCAAAGCTGTTATATTCTCTTAAACTTCAATACAAAAGATCAAATAAAAAAAAATTAGATATTATGGAAATTCTAAATTCGGAACTTAAGCTTGCACGAATGACAGATATTTATTCCATTTTCACAGCAAATATCTATTTGACAATATATACATCTGTTAAAGTCGATGATCATTACCTGAAATCTTAATTTTCTGTACTGATTGGGCTTGTACCATCGAATCTGATGTCTTCTGGACATTTTTCTTCGAAGGATCTGTATTTGCTTAACACACATACTAATTTTTCGTTATATTCTTACGCGCTTTTAATGTGATTTTCTCGTTCTCTTTTGTCAGAACTTCAAAAAGTGAATAAGAAGAAAATGATTACTCTTCTTCTTCTGGAACAGATAATACTTGTAGTGTATGAAATGATAAAACCGTTTACACACATTTTTCGATTTAATACCAAATTTTTACACTAATTTGTTATTTTTTTTCAAACTGTATTGGTCAAATAGAAGAAAGACACTTATGCTCTTACGCTCGCTCAATCGTTCGCATTATACCAATATTTTCTAAATTCATCAAAACTATTCTATTAAGGTGAGTTATCATGTATATGTGTCATGGATTGTTTCAAACTATTGGATTAACGCTTTCAGTCATTTTCAATCTAAACCGCTGATTAAGGAACTAATTCAATATGATGTCAGATATATGAAGAAAGTGGGAAGACT